ACAGCAACCTCAAACTCCTGAACTCAAGTGATTCTCTTGCCTCAGCCTCTCAAGTAGCTGGGACCACAGGCACCTGCCACAACACCTGGCCATTTTTTGGTTGTGGCTGTCGTTGTTTGGCAGGACTGGGCTGGATTTGAACCCACCAGCTCTGGTGTACATGGCTGGCGTCCTAGCTGCTGAGCCACAGGCGCTGAGTCACATCAGGCAGACTTTTAAAATGTGAACAAGAATACATGCATGGGCATGCACGTACATAGAAACAAACATATACCATGTCCAAATACCAATCTTTAAAATGCCAACTTGTTTTGTCTTGGTTGTCTACAGGCATTGTTATTGTCATTATCATCATCATCATCATCATCCTCATCATCATCATTACTGCTGTTGATGTTATTTATTAAGTTCCCCAGTAATTCTAAAGGGTTGAGAACCACTGCTTTAACACAATGGTATATAGACAATTCTTACTACACTTTCTCAAGGTGTTGCTCATCACACAAAGCAACACACCTGAAGATTGCTGCAAAATTTCAAGTCCTACTTATTAACATAATGACAGGCCAAGATTTCAACAAGTGGGTAAGGACACGATATCATTATACCAATACCAGATGGAAAGAAAGAGGAGGTGCACAGTTATGTCCAAGGAGCCATAAATAATTAATAAATAGATAGCTAGATGGATAGGAGAAAAGGACATTGGTGGTTCAATGAAAATTCAGAGATCAGGCCTTCTCAAAAGAGAGATGTCACCAGGCACCACAAACAAAATATATTTTTTTTTCTCTGAGACAGAGTCACACTTTGTCGCCCTGGGTAGAGTGCTGCGGCGTCACAGCTCATAGCAATCTCAAAATCTTGGGCTTAAGTGATTCTCTTGCCTCAGGCTCCCAAGTAGCTGGAACTACAGGCGCCTAGCATAACATCCGGCTATTTTTAGAGATGGGGGTCTCGCTCTGGCTCAGGCTGGTCTCAAACCTGTGAGCTCAGCCAATCCACCCGCTTCAGCCTCCCAGAGTGCTAGGACTGCAGGCTGTGAGCTACCGTGCCCAACCAGAATCACATCTATTAATGACACTAAAAGTGCTAAGTCCCCAAATCCACAGCATATGATTATCCAGAATAGAAGACAGCAATGAAAAGTTTACATATTCAATTCCATATTTTGTGAACATCCCACAAATGAACTGACTTGGGTAGGAGAGAGAAAATTCTGTTTCTCAACAATTAATTTCAGTAAATCACAGCAAAAGATGAACTAAAATAATGATCACTAGTGAAAAGGTAGGTTCTGTGCTCACAGTCCTTTCATCCTTTGACCTGCCCGCTCAGAACTTCCTATAGTTGGGCAGATCCTTCAGTTCTCTGTTCTGTAGCAACATTTTTTCACAAGCTTTGTTTGAAGCTTCCACTCCCAGCAACCTATCTTCACAGCCTTGACTAACAGTTCCTAGGGCTCTTTCTGGTGGGAGCTTC